AGCAGGTCAGAGATTTGCCTGTAACAAAAGAGCTGATATTGCTCTTTGTATTGCTGTTATCTACCAAAAGGAAGGAGGTAAAGAATTTCACTCTTTCTCATTGATCAGCACCTATTAGTATTCGTAATCCCTGTGTCTTCACAGCTTCTCTTGTGCCATGCTGTTTGCACACAGCAGAGAAGAACTGCCTGCTGGAGTCGAGGCAGATGTTTGTGGATATTAGAGTTCAATGACTGAGGACCAGGGAGAATCTTCTGCAGAGGCAATGACAGAATTTTTACCATTTTTCTTGAGTAATGTGAACATTTTATTGAAGCCTCAGAAATACATTCTCATAGCATTTGCAGTCATCTGTTTTTGTTCTGGGAAAGGGACCATATTCAGTAACGTCGACTGAAATAAAATCACACAATGTGAGAGTTGTGGGTTAAGTTTTATTTGGGGCAAAATGAGGACTATAGCCCGGGAGATAGCATCTCAAATGGCTCTGAGGACTCTGAAGAGGCAGGTGGGGAACTTAGTGTTATATGTGATTTCAGTGAAAGGAGTGCATGCAGTCAAGCACATACTTAGGCAGAGGCTTGCTGCTAGTCACAAGGAGCAGATGTCACCATTAATGATTTTAGTGCTTTTCTAGATATGAGGAGACACAAGAACTTGGACTCATAAAATCTCCTGAAAATCTATAACTATCAGGAAGCCTCTTCTGCCAGTTTTCCCAGAGCAGAGTGCCTCATTCCTGAACTCCACCCTGAACTCCTTTCAGGGAGTGTTGGAGGTCAGTTGCTGCATCAGCTCATGATTCAATCTTTGCAGAAGCAGATGGCAAGTGCCAATTTTTAGTTGGCAGTAAATTACTCAAATTCTTTGCCTTGGCGTGGTACAAGCCATGCCTATCTGTTACATACAATTTATTATTTTTTCATCAGTTTTTTTCTCCTGATTATATGAAGAGAAAAGGTCAAGAAATTGATGGAATAGAATGAATTCATTTGCTTTTGTTGTCAAACAAATTGAGTTCTATTGATTAATTGCAGATCAAGTTGCATTAATATATAACCTAAAATTTATTTTTTAACTTTTTCAGACTAGATTGAAAACAACTATTGAATTAACTTCAAAGCGTTGCTTCTGAGGCTTAAGCAACAGCATAGAACTCACTGGTAAATTGAGCTTGATTTCCCATTCTCTTGAGAATTCTGACCCAGGGGAGCTAGACTCTTTAATGCATAGTTTTATACAAAGGTAATGGCCCACCCTGTAAGACCCACCCTGAAAATTTAAAAATAAAAGAAGCCCCACCTCTCCAGATGGAATTATTCATCCAGATGGTAGTTACACTGGAAGCTTTTAGTGCTGACTGCATTCTTAAAGCTTTCATTTTTATTTTGAAGATCATTTTTTCCTTTAAAGATTTCTTCTAGTTAATTAGAAACAGTAAGACCTAATGGATTGAACAAAGGATAAAGGATTGCAAATGTTAAAGTTTAATCCTTATTCCATCAGTGACTACTGCTTTGTGTTTCAGCCACATTACATTGTCTCTCTGTCTCTATTTTGTCTAATGTAGATGTAGAATTTCCACTTCCAGACTAGGGGTATGTTTAATGAGTGAGGAAGGATGAAAAATGTTACCTTCTCTGACAATGGTATTATTTAGAAGAGAAGTTGACTTCTCCTGATGTCCCAAGACTTCATAAACACACTTGTTAGCATCCACGAAAGAGTACGACTTTATACAGTCTGAAATTAGGATATAATTGACCAATAAATGCAATGTAGGAAGTAACCAGAGTTGAACTGGATTGATGCAATGAATTTTTCGGGAGGAAAGGCATATTTTAGCTAGGTTTTTAAAAAATTAAAATAAATCCAAGTATTTTGAGACTACAAAGATCTTTGGATTTCCTTTTGAGTGGTCTCCATGGAAGACCCACCGGAATGTGGTCTCCAGTGTTCCATATCCTTGTATAATCCCCTCCCCTTGAGTACAGGTAGAACCTGTAGCTTGTACCTAAACAATAGAATGTGGCAAAGATGATGGGTTGTTACTCTTGTGATTGCATTTTATTAAATGAAACTTTGCCTTTGTAGACTAGAGCTAGAGAGCGTTTCCTTTTGGTTGTGAAGAAGCAAACAGCCATATGTGAACTGCCTGTGGAGAAGGCTATGTGGCAGGATGGCTTTAGGATCTGAGATCCTCCCTCAGTCGTAAAACTACAAGGAAACAAATTCTTTCAGAAGCCTTGAATGAGCTTGGAAGCAGAATTCTTCTATAGTTGAGGCTGCAGATAAGGGAACAGCTAAACCATGCCAGTACTCGTGACCCATGGAAACTGCATGATAATACATGTGTGGGTTTTTTTTTTTAAAGCTGTTAAGTTTGTAGTAATCAGTTACTCAGAGAAAGAAAACTGATATAATTGAATCTGTCCTGATCCTGTAATACTAGCAGTAAAATAATTTTACCTTGCACTCCAATATATGAAGGTTCATGTGTAAATTATATATACTACTACTGTAGGACCATGGATTAATTATCATGGAAACTTAGTGTTTCTTATTTTATTAGAAATGAAAATACATAGCAGTTCTAATATTTTCTTGTCTACCCAGTAGATTTCCTATACCATACCTCAGGGTTCTGCATACACATTTGAGACCCATTACTTTATCTGGGATTTCCAAGGTTGTAGATCAGAAAATTACTTCAAAAATTTCTTTGTGTATTAAAACCTACATATTGTTAATTTCTGAGTAGTTCCAGTTGTCCATCTGCTGCTGACCTTGACTGGAACCCACTAAACATTCAGTAGTGTGGATGAGGGAAAAATCGGGACACTGAGGAAAGAGACAGAACTGAAGACAACATTGCCTTGGCTCTGGGCATATAATTTTGTTGAACTTTCAAGTCAGGCCAAGGGAATCTGAAATTTGCTTGTTCAAATGATAGCAACCCATGCTTGGTAGATCTATCTATATCTATATCTATCTCTATCTATCTATCTATCTATCTAAGGGATATATGGGATATTCTTTTTGTCTGTCTGTCTGTTTGTCTATCATGTTCTTTGTCTCTTGGTGTATTCTATACCTTTTATTCCCTCATATTCAGCATCAGGAAGGGAAGGATACTATATGTATGTTGTGACAGATGACTAGGAGAGACCCCACTTTACTAAAACTTGGGGAAATACCAAGTAGAATATGACTGTTGACAGATTTCATCTCCTTTTACCAACCTTTGAGGAGATTGAAGTTGAGAAAGTCCTGGAAATAAAAAGATATTTGTCACTTATTCAGTAATAATCATGTATCAAATGTTGTCATGGAAAATTAACCTAAATTATGTCTTCTAATTCCCAAGATTAGTAGAGCAGAATGATTAAGGACACTGATCTGGAGTTAAAGTGCTGGATTAATATACCCACTCCACCACTTGCTACTTGCTGTGACCTTACTTTAGGATCCTAAATCAATCATTCATCTGTTTAACAAATCCATATTGCCTCATTTTGTGAGCTACTCATTCTTTTGGGCACTAGGAATTCAAGTGAACAAAGTAGGCTAAATCCCTCATGGAGTTTAGGTTCTAGTTGGGGGACCCAGATGATGATAGAATAAATAGTAAACAAATACATAAAAATGTTGGGTAGTGCAAGTGCTCTTGAGAAAAGTAAATCAATAATTTGGATGGCAGAAAACTGCAGAATGGTCAGAGAAAGCCTTTGTGAGAAGGAAGATGTCCTTTGAGCAGAGATTGAAAGGAAGGATGGAAAGATGCATGTATGTATCTGGGGGGAAGACATTTCAGAGACAGTAAAGACAAAGTACCAAGGGCCAATGAGGGGAGCTTACTTGGCATGATCCAAGAGGAAGGAAGACATGTGCGTAGAAAAGAATGAGCCAGACAGGAATTGGTAAGAGGTAAGCCCAGAGAAACAAGGGTGAAAACAGGGCGACCAGTTAGAAGGCTGTTGCAGTAATTCTGGTGAGAAGATGGTAGCTTTGGTTATTGAGATAAGAAGTGGTAGGATTCTGGGTATATTTTGGCCTTGTTGATGGAATAGAGTGGTTTTAAGAAAAAGTGAAGAATGACTAAGGTTTTGGCAAGTGGAAGACTAGAGTTGTCATTGACTGAGTTGGAGGAAACTGGAGTTAGAGCAGATGTGAAGAGCATGTAAGGACGCCTGTTTTGACCATGAAAAAATTTAGACATAGTATCTGATATTCAAAGGGAGATACTGTGTGAGCAGTTGAATACACAGAGTTCAGAGTAGTGGAAGGGTTGTTGTCAGTGTTCACTAGTATTTAAAGTCATAGTACTATGATGATGGTCATCAGGGGGTCACTAGGTCTCTCCTGTCATCTCCTCAGTCTCACTTACATGTTAGTATCTTGGCTGTTTTGAGTCTGTATTAATGTTTTCCATTTTCATAAAAGTTCAGGAGATTTGTTAATAGAAAAAAATCTGTTTAAGCATTATCCCCAGAAATGTAGCAAATAATATATTACTTATCATTCTACATCTTAATCAGAAGGATTAATTTAACTTAAAAATATTTAACTTATAGACCAAGAAAATAAATATTATCAACAAAATAGATGTATTCGCATATAAGTATTTTTGTCATATTTCTTTTCTTCAGTCCTACCCTGTAATATGTTGAATTATTTCCTTTTCTTGTATTTTTCAATATTCCCTTTGCTTATTTTTCTAATGCCTCTTACTTTTGTGGTTTTTAGTTTACTTTGGATAATACTTCACTTTGCATTTTCTCTTCAGCTTTCTTTATAGTTCTCACCAGTCCCCTCTTAGGCTCTCAAATGTTTCCATGCCCTTAATACTTCCTTCTTTGTCTTCTGTTCATTTTTGACTATCAGCAAGTGGTGACGTTTAGCTTGGAGAAGGACAGGACAAAGTTGTGACTTAAATGCTCTCAGTTCACTTCACAAGCATTTGTGGGGTAAGGCCCTTAGTATAATACAAATTTAAGATAGTGCTCACTTCAGCAGCACATACACTAAAATTAGAACAATACAGAGAAGACTAGCATGGCCCTGGCACAAGGATGACATGGAAATGCACGAAGTGTTCCATATTTAAAAAAAAAAGTTTAATATAGAGATCATTAACTTACTGTCTTTTTGAAGACTCAAGCTAGTTGGGAAATATAATGTTCTCAGATGTAAAAAAAATCAGAAGAAAACTACACAACAGCATAGAAAGAATGGCAAAATTGTATAGTAAAATCTGTGCACACAAATATTGAGGTGTGGTTGAGTACTGCAGTGGGATATTGTCTGTCTCACAAAGGTTTACATTATCTTAATGTATTTCCCATTACCTTAAATTATGAGAAGGCATTGTTGACTGAAAAAAAAACAGCACAACCTTAAAGTTGAAAGGTGTATTTTACTTAGGGACCTATTGAGGACTGTAGCCTGGGTAGCAGCCTCAGACAGCTCTGAGGGACTGTTCCAAAGAGATAAGGAAGGAGCCAGGATATTGAGGAGTTTTGCTGAAAAAAAATGTAGTCCGACATCAAAAAGTTACTGCTACTCACAAAAAACACATCTCAAGTTAATGATTTTAGTGCTTTTCTATGTATGAGACTATGCAAGATTCTGGGCTTACTGAAATCATTCTTTTGATATACTTCTTAACTGCCTAGGGCCAGTATCCTTTTTTTCTCCATCTTGAATTCCCTTCAGGGTACACTGTTGGGGTGGCTGCAGTGGCTGATGGTTTTATGACAGTAACATCCTTTGTTTACTGAAATGGCAGGCAACATTTTTTGTCTACAGGGTAAAGGTGTGTTATGAAAAATATTTAACAACAGGGAAGGCAGAGTGCTGGCCAAACTTAAGTTAGCTGTCATTTGTGAAATGCAAATTGAAACCATCATGAGATATCACTTCACACCGATTAGAATGCCTCTTTTTAAAAGTACTGTTGGAGATGTGAAACAGCTGAAATTCTGATATATCACTGGTGCAAACGCAGAATTGTACAGCTACTATAGAAAGCCATTTGGCAGTTTCTCATAAAGTAAAGCTACATTTACCATTCAATCTGACAGTTCCAAATCTAGATATTTACCTAGTATGAATTTGAAAACCTATGAGAAATGAAAACTTACATTCAGTATAATCTTGTTTATCTATTCTGTATAGCACAGGGAAATATACACAAGATCTTATGGTGGCGCACAGAGGAAAAAATGTGACAATGAATATATATATGTTCATGTATAACTGAAAAATCGTGTTCTACACTGGAATTTGACACAACACTGTAAAATGATTATAAATCAATAAAAAATGTTATATTGTTAAAAAAAAACTTGCATTCAACAAATACTTGCAAGTGAAAGTTTGTATTGGTTTTATTCATAATTGCCCCAAATTGTAAAGATCAAAATGTCCTTCAACTGAACAAACTATGGTGCATCCTTACAATGAAATACTGTAAAATAAAAGGACAACTACTGGTACATGCAATCACATGGATGAATATCAGTGCATTATGCTCAGTAAGGAAAGCCAAGTTTGAAAGACTACTTTATAACACGTGATGGTTCTGTTATGACATTCTGAGAAGGCAGAACTATTGGCACAGAAAAACAAATCAGAATTGCCAGGGGCTTTGGGTGTTGTGAGGGATGGACCACAAATAGGCATGAGGAAATTTGGGGGTGGTGAAACAGTTTGTATTTTGATTTTGGTGGTTATATGACTATATGTGTTTGTCAGAAGTCATAGAACTATACACAAAAAAATTTAAATTTTACTGTATGTTAAATTATACCGCCATAAGGTTGGTTTTAAAAAATAGAAGAGAAAAAAAACCTATTTTCTGAATATGATAATAGGTGTTTTGGAGTTGAGTTTGAGTTTGAATAGTCTCTCAGAGGAGAATAATACCTCATGTGTCCTAGAATTAATTCATTTTATTTTAATCATAAAGTTTTTTTTCATTGACCAAATATGTGGCTTTAGGAGGAATTCACCTACAGTAAGGAGAGAAGACAAGGGGACCTATATATCATGCTATTCCTGAGGATAAAAGGACATAAGATAGAGCAGTGCTAAAAGCTATACCATGTACTGAGTCTCTCTCTGGTGTAGAGTATTTCTTGATTATTTCACAGCACTCCTTTAAGATGGATAACATTATTATCATCTCTAGTTTACTGATGTGAGAACAGTTTCAGAGAATTTAAGTATTTTGCCCAGAACATGGATCAGCCAGGGTTCAAACACAGATTTTTTTTGGCTCCATAGTTTATGTTCTTTGTCTGATACCATCCTGTCTTCTAGATTATTCCCACAAGTGTTTTCACAAAGATAGAACAGTCAATTTTGAATTATTTTGTATTTTAGCTAGCATTATTAAATACGGAATTCCCTTTCTCAGAAACTGAGGTTGTTTCATAAATTGTTGAGCACTTACCCAGCCATTCAGGGCATGTACAATTTGATTCTGGATTACCCTCCATTGCTTCTCCTTTGCATCTATATTCAGAATAATTTTGGGGGAGGGTCTTTGCTAGTCCTTCTGGATCTCTTCCAAGATGTTAGTGTTTGTCAAGTGGAAAAAAATTAAGTTATTATGCAACCAAGGATAATTATATCATTGTTCAGATACACTTCTTACATGTTGAGTCCTTTAAAGATAGTATGCCAGGTAACTATAAATTTTTTTAAAGATAGGAACTGTCTTTCTCGTTTCTTGTCTACATCAGAATGTCAACTCCAAAACCTTGATGATGTTCAGTAAATATCTTTTGAAAGAATAAAAAAAATGAATGAATCAATGAAAATGGGAGCAAAGAATAGAGATCAAAATCTCTGGAGTTGGCTAGAGACCTGTATCTGAATCCTAGCTATTCCATTTAATATTTGGTTGACTTTGGGTTAATTATTTAGCCTTTCCCAAGACTCATTTTTCTCTACTATAAAATGAAGCTGTCAATTATTGTTGTTAGGAGTAAATGAGAATGAGTAAGGAATGTTGCTTATTAGCACAGTTGTAGACATAGTGTTCAGGGTGCAATGTTTATTAATATTTGTAAAATTCTATTATTCTGTTCTATATTGCTTCATTAATAATACAAATTGTAAGTTGATACTAATATTTAGGTGCTTCCCCAAATTTCGTTTATTCTTTTAATTCTCCTAATTTCTGACACTCATGCATAATTTAGAGAATGTGACTCTGATTAGAATGATTTAGTCCAGTTTTCAAGTTGCTTTTCTTGAAATGAAGGGGAGGTGGTTGTAAGGGAAAGGATGAGTTGGGGTGGCTGCTCTGGGCTTTTCATACATCTCCGTGTCCTCGTCTACTATCATCACTTTTATGTAGCGGGAGTCATTCGAAAACAGATTATTTTGGTATAAAATCATATTGAATCCCTGTAAAATAAGTAACAGGAAAATTATTCTCAGTTACCTGTATGGTCAGTGATTGGTGGCTCCAAGTATGGCTCAAGCATAAGCTGAATAAATCTTTGGATTTATGTCTATTAAATTAGTGTTGGAGGAGCAGGTCTATAAGGAACTAATTATCAAGAGAGCCTTAAGAGCCTCTCAAGTTCACAACTTGTTCTGATAGAAGGGTAAGCTAGCTAGTGAGCTTTTGCTAGACACAAGGACTTTGTGTACGAAAGGAGAGGCTGTCTCTGAGTAAGCACGGTAAACATCCTTTGGATTTGCCTTTAAGCTTGATCAGTACGTCTGAGTCTTTCTGAGGAAACAGGGATGGAGGTAGAGTGGCTGTACTTAACAATGGAAAGAATTATTTCATGCAGAGGGAAGATACTACCAAGCGTCATAGAGACAATTCAATTTTATTTTGTGCCCTCTAACTTTTTAGTAAATCAGTGGTTATCTGTTAGTCTTTGGGTGACCATACCTTCTGAGATGCAGTAGTTTAGATCTTCCTTTTAACCAATGAATGTGTTCCCTGTTGTCAGAGTGATTTCTATTTCCATGCAACAAAGAGTTATTTAGCCCATACAAACTGTGATTTGGGCCGTTTTGCACTTTAGCCAATTCTGCGAAGTGGTCACAGCCAGAGTAGCAAAAAAGCCAATAAAATAATAACAAGGCTTGAAAGTTGTGTTAAGAAATTGTAGTGATCCTATGTAGTTGGGTGTCCATTCAGTCTGTACAGTAAAGTCAGGGAGACAAAATATTGGTGAAAAAAGCCTAAAGCAAGTAATTAGTAGCAGGGGAAAGCAATGGCACATTTAGATTATTACACTTCACTTTGTATTGGTATCAGCTTCTGAATATCTCAGCAGCATTCATTTACATACCCACTGAGGATTGCTGAGCAGAAATTACCCTTTGTTCTCAGGAATAGAATTTAGTGGGGTTACACGTTATATCTAGACTTTGGCCCCTTCAAACAGAAAGAACTATGTGATAATATGTTGAATAATATGTAATCTTCATTTGTAAGTGACCACATCGTGAGAATTGAAAATTTGTCTATCGTGAAGATGCTCTTTGGTGAGAATAGTTTAAAAGTAGTCCTGAAATGTAATTTGTGACACTTGTATTTTAATACTTGTCACACCTTCCCCTCCCAGGCCTTTTCTAGTTCTGCCGCCCAAGCTCAGAGAAGGTAAGTGTCCTTCACAATGTCACACAGTTAGTAGTTGAGGAATAGCACCCCAGGTCTGTCTGAGCCTATCACACTGTTTCACTCCTCAGGCCTGGTCAGGTAGTGGCTTGTAAAGGGCTGCCACATCAAGTCCAGGTGTCTGAGGCAAGTTGTCCCCAGGTAACTAAATGGGCATTAAATGCAAAGTGTGTGACTGCTGAGAATCATCTGGACCTTGCACACAGTTATTTAGTTAGAAAAAAATTAAAAAGCAAGTATTAAACTTCATATACAGATACTAAATAAAATCGAGTTGATAAAGAATGGAAAAGACTGAAAAGAGAGGGAAAATATCCCCCCAAAGAACTTTCTAAATCACTAGAGTGTCTTTTTCAAGCCATTTTCTTATCTCTTTCCACCCTTGCTCTGCAGTCTCCTCAAAGACCCTCTGCCAGGCAATTTCAGATGTATTATAAACATGCTCTTGTGAACAA